TCTAGAAATTCCAAAGTGGAGGGAAGTTGTACTTGAGGAGATGAAAGCTCTTGAAAAGAACAAAACTTGGAGTGTTACGTCACTACCAGATGGCAAGAAGACAGTTGGATGCAAATGGGTGTTTACTATGAAGTATAACTCAGATGGGTCAATTGAAGTTGGTGGCTAAAGGCTTCACTCATGCCTATGGTATAGACTACTCAGAGACATTTTCTCCTGTTGCAAAATTGAACACTATAAGAATTCTTTTATCTCTTGCTGCTAACCTGGATTGGCCCCTACATCAGTTAGATGTTAAAAATGTCTTTCTTAATGATGATCTAGAAGAAGAAGTATATATGGACATTCCTCCTGGTTTTGAAAACAAATTTGGATCAAATGTATGCAAACTAAACAAGTCTTTATATGGATTAAAGCGTCTCTCAGAGCTTGGTTTGAAAAATTCACTCAGTCCATGAAGAATCAAGGGTACATTCAAGGACAGGCTGACCACACCTTGTTTACAAAATTCTCCAACGATGGGAAAGTTAATGTTCTGATTATTTATAATGATGATATTATCCTTACTGGAGACGATACGGTGGAAATGACAAGGGTAAAAGAGAAATTGACAATAGACTTTAAAATCAAGGACTTGGGATTCATGAGATATTTTCTAGACATGGAGGTTGCTCGGTCAAAGAATGGTATCGTGGTCTCACAACAGAAAATATTCTAGACTTATTGAAAGAAACATGAATGAGTGGATGTTGTCCTGCAGATACCCCTATGGATCCTAATGCTAAAATTTGGGGAGAAGGTAATGTTCCTGTTGATACTGGAAGATATCAGAGATTGGTTGGGAAATTGATTTATTTGTCACACACCCGACCTGATATTTCTTTCTCAGTCAGTGTAGTGGGTCATTTTATGCATTCTCCTTTCGAAAAACATCTTGAGGCAGTGTATAGGATACTGAGATGTTTGAAGGGAAATCCTGGAAAAGGATTATTTTTTAAGAAGACTAGTGAAAGGAATGTGTCTATCTTCATCGATGCTGATTGGGCAGGTTCAGTCACCGATAGAAGATCAACCTCTGGATATTGTACATATGTTTGGGGTAATCTTGTAACATGGAGAAGTAAGAAACAAGGTGTTGTAGCAAGGAGTAATGCAGAAGCCGAGTTTAGAGCTATGTCTCAAGGTATTTGTGAAGGATTATGGATCCTTAGAGTCTTAAAAGAACTTAAGATGAAAGTTGAGCTTCCCTTGAAATTTTACTCTAACAGTAAAGCTGCTATTAGCATAGCTCATAATCCAGTTCAACATGACAGAACCAAGCATATTGAGATTAATCGACACTTCATAAAAGAGAAGTTAGATGCTTGAATCATATGTCTACCTTTCGTGACTTCAAGTAAGCAAACTGCGGATATCTTGACCAAAAGTTTGGCAAAACCTACCTTTGAGCATTTGATAGACAAGTTGGGCATGATAGATATCTATGCACCAACTTGAGGGGGGGAGGGGTGTTGGAAAATATTTTATTTCCATATTTAATTGTTTATATTTATTGTCATTTATTTTCTTTTATTCTTCATTAAGGAGATGATTAAATATTTTTATTGTATTCTCATTATATAAACCAGCATTGGGCTGAGGAATAAAATTACAACAACTTTTATCTATTTCTTCCAATAATATATATATATATATATATATATATATATATATATATATATATATATATATATATATATATATATATATATATATATATATATATATATATATATATATATATATATATATATATATATATATATATATATATATATATATATATATAGTACCTTTTCACCATGGTTGCTTTATTTGATCGTTGTGACATGTCCTCTAGTAAATACAAAAAAGAAAGCACTAAAAAATAATCTATTACCACGATTAACACTATGGCCGTTGCAAAATTGGTGTTACGAAATGTCTATTTTGTAGTAGTGAGACTTGGTAAATGAATTATCACCCTTGGATTGTGATCCAAGTAATGAGTTTATCAATGGTTAGAAATTAATTTAATCCTTAGTTGCGGATCACCAATTTCAAACCTTGGATCAATTGTTAAGAATGGTTAGGATTGAATGAAAAAATGGAAGTTTGGATTTTTGTTTGTTTGGTAATTTTGTGTTAGTTTCGTAGTTAGAGAAGTTACGGTTAATTAGGTAAATGAATGGCTTGTGAAGAAATAGATAGTTAAAATTAGTTAGAGATCAATGGTTTGGAGTCTAGTAAAAGTACCAAGTTAAGATGTAAGGAAAATGACCACTAGTAATTAACTTGAATTTAAATGCTTTTGCCTTAATTTTTATTTCACTTTTGGCTTGAATTTTGAGATTGTGAGTGTGTCAGTGGGATTTTTATTTTTATTTTAGATTGACCTACTTTGAAGTTTTAAGGTGGGTAACTCAGGTCTTATGGTTTCTTTTCTTTAATGTGTGGGTGATAATGTGATTTTGAGGGGAGACATCATTTGATAATCTTTGGGTTAATAAAAGAGTCCTTTAGGTTTTTAAGGTTGCTTTTGGGTTACATGTGAATTTTGTTTGAGTAGTCTAATAAACGTTTTTGTTAATTCTTTTTTTTTTGTATGGCAAAAGGACTTCTACATTGTAAGTGGGAATCCTTGTCTTTTATGTATTTTGGGCTTTCAATTGGTGATAAACCCTAGCTTGGTACTACTTGGAAACCATTGGTTAACTCTACCTCTGGAATATCTATATATTAGGGTAATAAGCTTGTCTTCTTGAGTGGTTGTATGATCGTGTTAAATTATGTTCTTAATTCTACATGTTAAGGTAAGGGAGAACCTAATTATGATTCAGAGGCAGTTTATTTGGGGGAACGACTAGGAAAGATAAAATTTCTAGGGTTTGTTGGTTGGAAATATATTGGTGGAAACACATTTCTCTCCTTGGTTATGGATCCCAACATACTTTCGATTGGGTTTTAAAGAGTATTACCAAGAAGGTAGGCAATGGTAATGTTCACTTCCTAATGTGATGATTCTAAGTGTGGTTGGTTTCCCTTGAAATGTCGATTTTTGTCGCTTTATCAGGAATCTGATCACCATAATGGGATAGTTGGTGATTTAGGTGTCTTTGTAGACGGGGTGTTATCTGAGGACTTTAGGTGAAAAGAGGGTTTCTTTGATTATGAGTTTGAATTTATGGTTAACCTTTTGACTACTATCAAGAATTTTAAGGTTCATCCTAAGGGATTGTTTGTTCACTTTGCCTAATAAGAATGATATGTACTCGGTACAAGCGATATAGTTTCTTATTTGAGTCTAGTCTCCCTACTTTCTCTTTTGATATTTATGAGTTTCCACCTCTCTTATGGAAGAGTTAGGCCCCTTACGTAATTTTAGTTTCCTTTTTGAAGCTTCTTAGATACTTCCTCTGTCCCAAAATAATTGTCGAATCTTATAAAATTATTTTTCCCAAAATAAGTGTTGCATTTTATTTTTAATGCAATTCTAAATTTATCTTCCAATTATACTATCTAATTTAATACTCTCAATTTATTATTCTTTCACTTTACATTTATGATAATTTGAATGCACAAATAGTAAACAAGAATAGTTTGATAAAAAATATTATTCTCTCTTTTGTTTATTACATTTTCTTAATCTGTGTGAAATGACCAACTATAACAATTTTTTTAGGACGATGATAGTATAGAATTTCAATCAGGAATAACCTTTTTACGCCTAGGATGATTCCTGATCCTCAAGGCTAGATTGTGTCGCATGGTGATTTTGAGTCATCTAATCATCCTTTTGTCATCTTTGAGATTATGGCTTTCATTTGTATAGTGTGTCTAATTAGCTTAAGTGGAATTTTGTATTACTTAAAAGTATTTAGTTAATTTTAGAGATCCTAAAGTCCGTTGAATTGACGTATAAATTGAGGTATGACTTATCTATGGTCTATCATTTTACGGTGTGGATTATCTAGAAACGTTTTCTTGCTAAAACCTCTTGAGTGTGGTCAGTGGCAGATCCATGAAATTTTTATAGTAGGGGCAAAAAAAATTCATATATTAAAAGACATAAAAAATTTATATGACAAATATAATTTTATGAGAAAAGTATTTTTCAAATAGTCTATAATATATAAGAACTTTTTTAAATATAAATATTTTATATTATGTTAAATATGTTTTAAATTTTTAATCCTTTATTTTATAACATTCATACAATTTTGATTTCTTTTTCATACTTTGTATTTAAAATTGACAATATTTTATTTCTAAATGATGTTTTTTTAAAGCGTGACAAATTATTATATAAATTTATTTTTTAACTTTTATAAATAAAAAATATAAATAAAAAATGGACACTTCACCAATTTTTAGTTTAAAAATGTAAAATGGTGTCCTGAATTAATTAAAATCAAAATAGGGTGATTAATGATGTAAATCAAGTAAAATAAGTGATCAAAACTCTAATCAAAATTTTATATAAGGTAAGAAATATGATTTGTCCCAAGTCATTCGTAATTACAAAATAGAATTATAGAATAAAGATTCTCACAATTTATAAATAACGCAATAAATATTATCTGATATTAGTTTTTTTTACAAGAAAAATGAAAGTAAATATTTAATAATCAACTTGTTCATATCAATCGATCGTCAACACCTTGAGAGCAGCAAATGAGACTTACCTTGAGAGCAGCAATGAACAAAGTTTTGCCAACCCAAACATACATACATTATTTAGAGTACCAAACGAAGTGACAATGCATATATTATTTAGAGTACGACACAAAGTGAAAAGGATGTTCCATAGGGAGCACTATATAAGCACACCGTCCTCCTCTTTCGTTTGCATTATTGCAATCTCATGCCCACCAACCTGTTGTTCAATTCTCACAATTAATTAAACACATTTTCTCTCCTATTACTAAGTGTTTCTTTGATCCATCAATATAATAATAACTAACAACTCAATCAAGATATATATGGCGGAGGGGAAAACTTCGGTTGAGAAGTCTCTAGAAGATTTCGATCCCCATAACAAACCTCCATCCAACAACTTTGCATTCGCCTGTGCTATTTTGGCTTCCATGACTTCCATTTTACTTGGTTATGGTAAGTACTGAAGCAACTACGTACTACACTACATATATATAGAGAGAGACATGGATGAGCATGAACATGAACATGAACATGATGTTAACTATATGAATGTGATGTTATGTAGATATTGGTGTAATGAGTGGAGCAGTGATATACATAAAAAGAGACCTTAAACTATCTGACGTCCAAATCGAAATCCTAGTAGGCATCATCAACCTTTTCAGCTTGATAGGTTCCTGCCTCGCCGGCAGAACCTCCGACTGGATCGGCCGCCGTTACACCATGGTCCTCGCCGGTGCCATTTTCTTCGCAGGTGCATTACTCATGGGATTCTCCCCCAACTTTCCCTTCCTCATGTTCGCTCGCTTCATCGCCGGCATCGGTATCGGCTACGCCCTCATGATCGCCCCTGTCTACACCGCCGAAGTCTCCCCGGCTTCCTCTCGCGGCTTCCTCACCTCTTTCCCCGAGGTACATAACTAATCAGAAAAAGAACAACCATAATTAACCATAACTAACAATAATTAAGTACACAATTAAACTATTATTTTTTGTTACATTATGATTAGGTATTCATCAATGGAGGAATATTACTTGGATACATTTCAAATTATGGATTCTCGAAGCTTCCACTTCAAATAGGATGGAGAGTGATGCTCGGAATCGGAGCCATTCCTTCTGTAATCTTAGCCGTTGGAGTGTTAGCCATGCCTGAGTCACCTCGCTGGCTCGTTATGAAGGGAAGACTCAGTGATGCTATAAAAGTTCTCAACAAAACCTCTAGTTCCGAACAAGAGGCTCGGCTTAGGCTCGTTGAAATCAAAGCCGCGGCTGGGATTCCTGAGAATCAAAACGACGGCGTAGTTTCAGTGAATAAAAGAGAAGGTAATACTGTGTGGAAAGAGTTGTTTCTTTATCCTACACCCGCAGTGCGTCACATAGTTATTGCTGCTCTTGGGATTCATTTCTTTCAACAAGCTTCAGGTATAGACGCCGTCGTTTTGTACAGTCCTACGATTTTCCGTAAAGCTGGGCTTGAATCTGATACGGAGCAGTTACTTGCAACCGTAGCCGTTGGATTGGCCAAAACGGTTTTTATTTTAGTAGCTACTTTTTTGTTGGATCGGGTCGGGCGTCGACCCTTATTATTGTCGAGTGTTGGTGGAATGGTGATTTCGCTGCTAACTCTTGCGGTGAGTCTCACGGTAGTTGATCATTCGCACGTGAGAAAGATGTGGGCCGTTGGATTGAGTATTGCATCTGTTTTATCCTACGTGGCAACGTTTTCGATTGGTGCGGGTCCCATTACTTGGGTTTATAGCTCTGAGATTTTTCCGTTGAGGCTACGCGCTCAAGGTGCGTCTGCGGGTGTGGTGGTGAATAGAGTGACTAGTGGGGTAATTTCAATGACGTTTTTGTCCTTGTCTAATAAGATAAGTATTGGAGGGGCTTTCTTTCTATTTGGAGGAATTGCAGCCTGTGGATGGATTTTTTTCTATGCATTGCTCCCTGAAACACAGGGTAAGACTCTTGAGGAAATGGAAGGGTCTTTTGGTAAATTTGGTGTGAAGTCAAATACAAAAGCCTATAACCATGATAATGGAGAGATCCAATTTGCCAATTAGGGAGTAATCAAAATTATGATCAATTAGGACTTGTTAAGTCGATATATAAAAATAATGTAGTAGTAGTAGAAAGATGGTTCATTTGCACTTTCTTATGTTAATATAATGTAGTATTCAATAAAGACAAATTCGTAGGTACCTATAGAAGCGTTGAATATTGGTATTTTTTATTGAAAATTAATTTTAAAAAAAGTTATTTAAATAAATCATATCATCTTCCTTTTTATAATAATTATTCCGATTGATCATTTTATATAAATTAAAAAAAATAATAAATAAAATAGAGATAATAATATTTTTATTAAAATATTTTATCATGTATTAAAAATTATGAAAATAATATTAATTAAAGAATCAAATAAAAAAGATATATTAAAAATTAAAATAAATAATTTATTTTAAAATACTCTTTTATTCAAATGAATTATTTATTATAAAATAGATAAAGTATTTATTTTATCATTAAAATTAATAAAATAAATTATTATTTTAAAAGGTACCAAAATTTTAAAAGAACATTTATTAAGTTGAAAGAAAATAATTTATTTTTAAATAAAAAATTTATATAAAAGTGATATGATATTAAATGTGATTGATTTTTATTGTATCACTATCCAATGAAATCCAATTATATAATTCCATTTAGTTGGGTGAACACTTATTTATTCTTAAATTTAGTTGGATTATATTACTATCAGCCAATCAAATTATATATTCAATGTTATTTTATTTTTTTTATTTTATATTATATCAAAATAAATTAAAATTCTAAAAATAATTTAACCTTAAGATACCGATATCAAACTTAAAATTACAAAAGAATTTATTTAATTAAAAATAGCAGTAATATTAAATTTTGTTGATAATTAATAAATTTAGTTATAATTTTTATCCTTCTTTTTATTTAATTCAAGAAATTGATTCTCAAATTTTAAATTTATACAGTTTTGATAATTCTATTTTAAACATAAAAGTTTTAATCTCTTATACTTTTTCACTTAAAATTAAAAATGTTTTTATATTTTAAAATATAAGTTACTGGCGAAATATGACTTATATAAATATATTGTTGAATTTTATAGATAAAAATATAAATTAAATTTTTTTTTTAATAAAAAACGTGAGAGAAAAAGAAAAACTAAAATTGTATAAATTTAAAATAGCAAGATTAATTTAGTAATTCAAACAAATTTAGAGAAACATAAGTATTTAACCGACTTAATATTTATTTTTTAATTTTGTTTTTTTAAATGAAGCAATTAATATCTATCATATAAGAAGTTAATATGCTTTGGAAAGTACTTAGCTACCCCTTTGCTTTTCCATACTTCGACGCTGACTGCTTTTCTAAATTATTTTGACAATGGCTATTTATATAAACCTTTCTACTTTTTGCCTTTCATTTATTTCTATTAAAATATTATTCTAATTTTCCATCAAAACACCATAGTGCTGCTCATTTAATGTTCTGCAGGCTAAAATAATTTATTATTATTATTTTTTATCCATTGACAATCTGCCACTTCTCCTTCTTTCAATTTAATCTGCAATTGCAAAAATTAATATAATATTTGTCGTATCTCGAACAATGAATGCACGACTTCGCGAAGCGCAATTGCACGCTTGCGGGATTGAATTTACAGAGTTGTCGCCGATCTTTATTTATTCTCATAAAGAGAAGGAGAAAATATCGAATAAAAATCCTAAAAGAAAGATAAAGATATGGTCATCGCGACCAATATCTGAGTTCGAGGGTCGGTTACGTAAGGGGAAGGTGGTTACGTAAGGGGAATGTATTAGCACACCTCACGTGCGTTATACTCAAAGGGAACCAATAGATTAGTTGTGCGTGTTAATGTTTTCTTAAAATGTTAGGCTTCTCAAGTTATAAGGGAAAGTTTTTATTATTAGGGGCCTCACAAGATTTCACAATCCCGCTCCTACGTATTTCAAAAGAGAAATCAAGACACACTAGGTAAAAAAGTTTACTTGTTGGTCGATTTTAGCAAAAATTACAGAGGAATTGGAATTCATTATGGGAAAGCCTCTGAATGCCAAAAGTCTTCAGAGACTTAAAATAATGGATGAACTCACAACAGCTCCCAAGAAGCTGAATGTTTCTGAACTGAGTAAGAAGAGAACTCCTATAGATGATTATCCTATGTTCTATGCTGAAGAAACAAGACACGTTGTTGTAATGTATATTGATGAGTGCAAGAAAGAAGGAAAGCCTGTTCATGCAAACATTATAAAGCTAGCAAGACAACCACTGCCTGTTGCAGAAGAAGAAGAAGAACCACCAAGAAAGAGGACTCAACCAGAAGCAAAAGCTGCACCTGTTCAGAAGAAGATCAAGATTGCTGAGAAGCCACAGAAGCTCTTAAAGAGGAAAGAATCTGGAGACACTCCTTCTGTACCAGCTAAAAGAATCAAAATCAAAGGTACTAAATCTTCTGTATCTTCTGCAAATTCTGTTGTTTTAAATGATTCTAATGTTAAGTCTATTCCTAAACCACCCTTTACACAAAATACATCTGTTACTGCTCCATCTCATGTTTCTACACCATCACCACAAAAATCTACTAATCCAATTTCCATTTCACCTGAGAAATCTTCTGTTCCAACACCAATAACAACAAAAACAACTCAAACTCCACAAGTCTCTATACCCCAAAAAATTCAACCAGAGGTTCTAACCAAACCATCTGTATCAGAAAAACAACCCACAGAACAACAACAAACAACAAAACCATCTGCTCAACAAAAACCCTCTGAACCTTTTAAACAAAAGCCCTCTGAACAACAAAAGCACCCACAAGAAAAACAACCAGAAAAATCATCTGAAACCCTACCAGAAAAAGCCTCTGAACATCAACCACCATCAGATAATCCACCATCCAAATCATCTGAACCCACTGCATCTGTACCTGTTATTTCTGAACCAATAACAATTTCATCAGATCCACCTACCTCAGAACACCAATCAAAACCCTCTGAAATTCTTTCAGAACCAACCAATACTTCTGAACCCAACATTCCTGAGACAGAAGTTCTTGATGCCACACCATTAAAAACTGTGTTTCAAGTATCTTCTACCTCCTGCAAACCAACCACCTCATCAAACTCCTCATAATCTGACATTCACCCAGATTTTCTAATCTCTCCTTCTCACAGAGATTCTGAAGTAAACCAACCAGAACCTCCTGTATCATTAAAAGTTCCTATTTCAGATCCCATTCCCACACCTACACCATCATTTGAAATACTGATTCCTATTTCTAACCCAACAGCCAACCCAAGAACATCTATTTCCTGTGCACAAGTCTCATCACTGTTTCATAATCTTGCTTATGGTTTCAAACTCAAAGACTTTTATGACAGAGTTGAACCATTTGACCCTATCACCCCTCTGAAACCCAAACTCACAATGACCCTTCCATCTGTCCTTCTCACCTACAGTCAATCCATGACAGATGTAGGTTCATTAGCAATTATATCTTATTCTGCTAAATCTGACAAAGCTGTTGCTTCAGCTATACCAATTTCATCTGATAAAACTGTTGCTTCTGATAAACCTCCAAAATCTGCATTCCAACCTTACTCAAATAAACACTTTGATGTGGTTTCCTTTCACACCAGAGCCAAACCTCATCTGTTAAACGCTTTAAACAGATCCAAACCTAATAAACCTGAAATTCCTTTCATTCCATACTACCCTCCTCCTCTGATCTCCATTCAGAAATCCCTTTTTCCACCTACTCCCCAACCAAAACCAATAACACTGGAGACTCTGTTACATCCCAAGCCCAGACTTAATGTTAATCATTTATTTCAATCCTTTTTGCAAGAAATACAGTTGTATTTAGGTACTGTATAGAAGAAGTGCTCAGCAACAATGGATGCACAAGAATCTGATGTCATCTGGAATGGATTCATCAACAGATTCAACTCTGTGACCTCAAATCTGAAGAACATTTGTTCTGATGATGCGAAGCTCAGATTTGCTGAAGCTGCAAGAAATCTGTTCTGGACTGTCAAGAGATCTGAACCTTTGCTCCTTACAGATGCTCCTCCACCTTCAGAAGAAACTACTGAACCTGCATCTGAAGATAATCCTTTGGCCATGACACTGGTAGAATTTCCTTCTGGCTCAAATGCTTCAGACTCTACAGATCCTATGGAAATTGACTCTGTTCAAGCTCCAGAAAATGTTCAACCTTCATCATCTGAGATTAAGAAAGAACATCCAGATTTTGAGGATAAAATTGCTGCTCTGGAAGCTGGTCAATCAGAGATCAAATCTTGGATGGCCAAACAGGATAAGAAATCTGAAGATATGACAGAGTGGATGTCAAAGCAGGATCAGAAGAATGAAACAATGGCTAAGTGGATGTCCAAGCAAGAGCAGTCCTCCTCTGAGATCACAGATCTATTGAAGATGCTTTTGTCAAAACACTCTTAGATTTTCATTTTTTTCGTTCTGATGTTTTTGCATCTGATGTTTGCTTATGTATTTTTTTTGCTATATCTTCTGATGCATGTACTATTGATCTGAACTCATTGAATGAATCAAAGTTTTCTCCACTGAATTATCTCGTTTACGGTTTCCTTTTATTTGTCTTTTTAAAGTTTTTACTTTTTGCTTATGACAAAAAAGGGGGAGAAAATATAGATCTGAACTGTTTAATCTAACTTCACCAGAATGAAACTTCAGACATATCTATTCTATCTAACATTTAATCTGAGTATTTCAGAATATTTGATAAGTATACTCTATAAAAGAAACTCTGAGTCTCTCAGATCATTTGACTATTATCAAACTCTGAATATGATATTTGCAAGACATTCTGACCTTCAAATGTTAAAAGGACAATCAAGATCTAACTCTGAAAATTAATCAAGACAAAAGGGAAGTTTCTATTCCTTATCTGTATTTAACTCAGGGGGAGATTCATCATCTCAGGGGGAGTTATAATTTTTATATTCTCAATTAAACAAAA